TTCTTAAAAAGAAGATCTCTATGTCTGACTGCAAAATAACCGTTATTTGGTTAATTGAGTCACATTTGCGTTATGTTCTTAAACATTGTATCGATAATTTTAACGATAATGGTAAGTTTACTAAAAATTTTTGTTTTAAATATTCCATGCTAGCGGAACTTTTGAAATGTTAAATAATACACATACATTTTATTTCATTACATACATTTTATTTTCATATACATTTTTGTTTTATTTTACATACGTATTTTTAATATTTTTAGATTTTTTCAAAATACATCAAATTGCCTCTTACAAGTTCAAGCAAGTTTTGAATTTAATTCAATATTGCTTGCATACGTTACAATACAAAAATTTCTTATTAAAATTCAATAAAACCTCAAACTAAATTTCAATCTCATAAAACTTATTGACCGTATTAAGAAAGATCTAGATTGTACAAGTACCTAAATGTTAAGACCAAGAAGGTACTATTATTTTCGACACCTACGGTATTTGATAAGATACAAGAGATTTATATAAAAAATTTCAATTGATTCAGACTTTTCAAAATTAGGAATTGTAATAATTCGACAAGGCTTTTTAAATAATTCAATAACTATAGGAATAATAGTATCTGTCTTCAAATTTCGATGAAAATTAATACATCATTCGGCTTGTATCTTATGTTTTCTAAGATCAAGCACAGTTAGACCTAAAATCGGTGGAAAATTTATTTATAATTTTCAATAAGAATTAAATTTTTACAAACAAATTGAAACAAAAATAGAGCCCTAAATTCAAAATAATATTGTGGGCTGACAATCTAATTAAATCAGTTCAAAAATAGTTACTATAGAAATTAATAAATTTTTCTAATTAAATCTTAAAATTCTATAACAATGTTGTGTAATCTTAAACAAGCTCTCCTGCCTAAATTAAATTTCCAAAATTGCTACAATCACTAATTTTAAAATTAAAATAAATAAAAAATATAAAAACAAAATTTAAAATAAAATTTCCTAAAATTTTAACATTGAGAAAACAATAACAAAAATGGGCTGTAATATGAGAGAGTAAAATAAATGTCATAAAACTTGTCTTATAATGAATTTTGTTCGGAGCAATAAAACTTCAATATGGCATATTACTCTTTTATATATACACTTATGTATACATACATATGTACGCATAAAGGTTGAACATTTCTGTTGAGAATGAAAAATCGAATGAAAAAAAAAATATATGAGAACAGAAAAAAAACCGTTTTTTTTTTCTCTATAATTTGAAGTTTCTTTTTTTATTCGTTTGTTTGTCTGTTTGTCTCACATTTTCTGTTTCATTTCTTATTTGAATTTGCCGTTTCGTATTTCATTTTTTGTTTGTTTTTTTGCTTCGGTTTTTTTATAAATTTTCGTGTTGTTGCTTTTGTATTTTATTTTATTTCTGTTTTTTTTTTTTGTGTTTCATGATAATTCCAATGGAAATGAAATAAAATATAACGATTCTGATTCGTTAACAGTTTTACAATTGTAAAAAAGAAAGAGAAAAAAAAAAGAAATAAAAACTCAAATTCTCTGTATACTACTCTTTGATATTTGTTTGTTTTTTTTTTATATTATTTGTTTGTTTCATTTACACATCTTATGTTACAAATACTCTAACGTTCATTCATATTTGATGAAAAAAAAAATTTCTTATTATATCATTGAATATTTTTATTGTGTTTGAGTGTTTGTCACGACAGTAAAAAAATATAAAAAAAAAATTTTTTTTTCATTGCTTCATTGTGTATGTGCATATTATTTGATTGTGTGAGTGTCTGCGCCTAGTTAGGTATGTAATAAGAAATTAAAAATGAAATAGGATAAAAGGTTAACGTTCCGATTGAATTCTTTGGTGCCCTGGAACGATTTTCTTCGCCTTTTTTTTAATTACTCCTACATTAATTTATTTTTTTTAGTTTTTTTTTATTAAAAATTGTAGAAATTGTACTTAATATTTCTGATATATGCATGTAATTTCAATATAAAAAACGAAACAGAGGCTGATTCGTAAATTAAATAAATTTAAAAGAAAAAAATTAGAAAAGTCATGATTGCCCAAAGACCTGTTGGAGAAACTCTACGATACTGTTATTCATTGGAAAAAAATATATATGCATACAGTGAATGTAAAGAATAAAATTAAATTAAGAAGTAGAGGAAATAATTAAAAAAAAGAAAAATATTCAAATTTTATTTTGAAAATTAACAACCATAAATACTAAGTCTAACACAAACTTGCAAATGAATAGTTCTATGAATTTTGTAATATGCACGAAATTTATTTTTGATTTTAGATTTGAACTTCTTCTCTTAAGACTCCATTCTATTTCATTTAGAAAAAAAAAATTGTTAGTTTTATAAATTTTTATTCTTTCATAATGACAAACAGAATTTACTCCTTAAATTGCTGCATAAGACATTTACTTCAAAAAAAAAAAAAGCTATTAAAATAGTAAAATTTAAAATTAATTTAAATTTAATCAGAAACTCAAACTATGCACTTAAAATAATCGTCAATGTATATACGTTTGTATATGGATGCTAAAATTACCCCTAAAATTCAGAAAATATTTCTTTACAGAAAATTTAATTTTCTTTTTCTAATACAAACACATTTATTCCTATCTTTCCTATGCTAAAACCTAAAATGTAAAAAATTTGCAGACTCAAAAATTCGTACAGAAAACAACTCCCTTCAACTTACATATTAAATTATTACTCATTATATTTTTCTCTCTTTTCAGATTTGAGCATTTTTTTTTTTGAGTATATTTTTCTAATAAAAGAAAATATAACATAATATTTTTTACGCTGCATCATGTTAACTATTAACAAATCTACTTACATTTTTACAGATTTACTCATTGCATTTTATTCCTTATTCGTTTTTGCAGATACTTATTGAAATTTGCAAATGGAATTAAATCAAATATGTATACTGTTATAACAGTATTGATTAAACAGTACAGTGTACAAAAGTTTAATATAAAAATGAGAGAGTTTTTTCTTGTTTTTCTTTTCTTACTCTCTACTTGTAATTTTATTCTACAGCCAGTGCTCTTTAAAAACAGTATCAAAGTAGTTGTGTCAAAATATTATATTGTATGAATATATTGAAAATATTATTGGTGTTAGTGAAAGGAAATACAATTTTAACTTGTGAATATGAAGATAAAAGAATTTAATATACTTAAATATATGTATGAATTCAGTATAACAAGAATCTGTTACAATGTGATAATTCAAATTGAATAAGAATACCTTTATTGTTTTTTGTTCTTTTTCAATAATTCCAGGAGTTTGTCTTTTCCAGTTTCTTGTTTACAGAAGTAACCAAAAAGAAATTTTTTATACTTGCCATGTGAAAATTAAAAAATATGTGTATATAAATACAATAATCTCATTTCATACATTCGAAGCACATGCATATTATTAAAGAAGAGAATATAATGTATAACAGTATAAATAAATATGAATAACAGATTTTGAAGATGTAGTAAAGTTTGTATATAATAAGTTTTAACTATATATAGGAATATGTAGGTTTGTTTTGTTTTTTGTTTTTTACGGTTTTTTCTTTTTTTTTGTATTTTTTTTATATTTCCTTTTGTTTCTTATATGAAAACAACAAAACAATATATACAAAAAGAAAAAATCTTTTTTAATTTGTAGCCTATAAGCTAATAGATTGATTCAAGTAAAACCAGTCAATGTAGTGTTTATCTGTGAAGTAGCATCGAAAAAAAACGGTTGAAAAAAAAAGGATTCTTTTATACAAAAATTTTTTTTTTTGATAAAAATTCATTGTTCAAATCCTATAGTAAATCCAAAAAAAAATTTAGGATTTTTTATTCTTTTACGTATATTAAGTGTTCTACTAATGAAAATTAATTTATATTGAAAATTATTTCTTATATTTTATTTGTTATAAAATTCTGGAATACCAAAAGAAATACTTTTAATTTTTAATATTATGATTGAAAATATTAAAATATTTTTTTTAAATGACGTTTCTACTAAATATAACTGTTAAATATACATTCAATTTGATTTACTACAAACAATGTTTACTATATAAAAAATATACTATATCTGAATGAATTTATAACAATTACGGATTTAAAATAAATGTTATTATTATACTCCTATATGTATAATATTTTCTAACACAAATGATTTCCGGTATATAATATTAAAATATTTTATCATTCTTATTTATATATATACATATACGAATATAAATAATATATTATTAGATAATAATGTATGTATAATAATATTCTAAAGCAAACAAATAATAACATTGAAAAAAAAAGTATATATAATATATAGAAGAAAATAATAATAGTAAAAATTATAGCAATAATAGTGTGTATAGTAAAACAATTCTATAGTAACAACAATAATAATAATAACAATAATAAATTTTTAATACACATAACTATAATATACTGGTATAATGCATTTTATATAGAATATATTATCATTAATATAAGTTATATCTACTACACATATTATAATATAAATATATATATTTGATTTAAAGTAGCATATAGATCTATATTAACATATTATATGTATATGATTAAATAGAAATAAAACACAAAGATAATTTATTATAACAATAACAATAATAATTATATATTAATATTGAAATTATAAAAACAATTATACAAAATATAGTATTAATGAAATTTATACATTACATACATTACATACATACATCTATTTGATTTGTAGAACAAAATTTTTATTGTATGTAGAAATTGTTTTTTTTTTTAAATTATAAGAATGTGTTATATAAAAAATTGCATATAATTATTAAAAAAAAAAAAAAACAAGAATTGTTTACTTGTTATATTAATATAATTAATGCAATATAAATGTAAAATGTTATACTCAATATTATTAAAAAATAAAATAAACTAAAATATAATTATAACAAAGGAATTTTGGCAATAAAATACAAAATAATCAAAAAAAATTAATAAAAATTTTAAGAAAAAAAAGTTCATGATCATCATAGAAAACAAAAGCAGCTGATCAACAAACTGATATATGAACTATAACATTGAATTTTGAATAAAATAAAAATTGTTTTTTATATAAAAAAAAAATTGGTTTAGAATACGCAAAACAATTTGTTTAAAATCCAAAATCAAGGAAAATAAGGTAGGTGAAATTTCAAAATTTCAAAATTTTTGGAATATAAAAATTAATTTAAAAGATTATTATTTATTTTATTAATTAAAATAATTTTGTTTGATTATTTAATGAACTGCAACATTTTACTTTAACCTTTGTAAAAATTTGGCTTAAAATATTTTAATTATATTTTAATTAAATAATAGGCTTTAATTGTGTGCCAATGTAGTTCTAAATGAATTTCAGGTAATTTTAAGTAATTTAAATATTTTTTAAATTTAAAATGCTTTTTTCTTATAAAATAATTAAGTTTGATTTATAAATTTTTAATATTCCGAATATAAAGACTATGGAACTATATACTCATGCCCGTTAATTGGAAAGCCAATTAGCCGCTTTTATTAACATTTCAATTTTTTGTTTTTAAATTTTAATTTTTGAGAATCGCCGCATCGGTATTTTTTATCCGAAAATTACTTTGGTCGAACTTCACATTTTAATTTGACTTCCTTAGAATGTTTTAAATTTGACATAAATTTGCTGAAATGAATATTTAAATTACGAAAATTTATTTGCTATAATATAATATCTCGACTTTATCCTATAAGTCGACTTAAACAGTTAGATCTTGTTGTTACCATATTATACCTATACATATAAATATTTTCTAATAATGTTATTAATTAATAAATAAATAGTATTGATTAATAAATGAATTAATTACCATATAAAAAATATTTTCTAAATTTAAGTTTGTCCCTTAATTTAAGAATAAAACGGACAAATAAGGCTCAATACTTAGATTTAAATATCGGATTTTAATAAAGTACTGATTAAATATAGTTTGACAGATTTATAAATAAAGCTATAATGAATTCAAATATGGCTCGATTTTCATAAAAAACATTCAGAAAATAGATTTTCGAAATTCAATTTCGTAGCTTAGATTTCATATTGGAAAATTAATTTTTGATATTGGTAACTTTTTTCCATAATTTCAGATCCAACTAAAATATGGTAACAATTTTTATATAAAAAAAAATTTTTGTGAATAAAAAATGAAATTAGAATTGTAACAGTAATATTTCCCTCTTATCCGAAAGGAGATTGCCATACCTTACATGAATAAATAGGAAATATAATTCAAGCCTTAGTTTGTTGCAAGATTTCTCCTAAGTAACAAATAAATATTAGCAGTATTCCGTGTTTAAAAAAAAATTTTTTAGCGTTGTAACACGTTCCGTAATTGGTTAATCTTAAAAAAGTTTTACAATGTTACGCTTTCCGAATTGAATATAAAATGCATTTTTGAAACGCAAAGAAACGCAACTTCTTTACATCCCTTGTAAGGCCTATTAAATTTTGACGATAAAATGTTAACAGTTCCCGTTTTCAAATATTAAAAATAACATAACGCTGATTTCTAAGCTTTTACGTTGAATTTTGGTGTATAAAATTGGTAAATTAGGGCAAGTGGTAACAATATTTATAATATTGTCTATAGCGTCAATTAAATTATTTGTACCCCAAAATGTAAAAAATAACTTTATTTTTGCTTAACAGTGCAGTATCATTGTATTTAATTTTGAATTTAACTACGGCGCTTGTACAACTTTGTTTTAAGGAGTGCGGAATATTGTTAGTTGCGGAATTCGTAGACTTTATACAAAATCCTACCTCTAAACTCAAATTGCGAATGAGAAATATTAACTTTTATAAATCATGAACTTGATTGATTACATTTGTCCAAGCGATTATGCAAAACGGCCAAAATAATAGGATGAAAATTTTATAAATTGAAAACTGATTTCAAATTTAATATAAAAAAAAATCCCCCTTTCAAAGTTTTAGTACATATATATTTTAGAAGAACATGAATTTTTGTTTAATTATTTCATTTTCACTATAAATTCAAAAAAAAAATTTCAAATATGGGATCAAAAAATTAAAAAGAATAATAAAATAATTTTATGATTTACATTGATTTCATTCTTTTTCTGAAATGAAAATTTATAATCTAATTTATAATTATTTATAATTAAGAAAAAAAAACATATAGGAGTTTACAGCACACTTAACAAGTCAAAAACTTTTGCAACTTAATTAATACCTGTGAATGAGCATAAAATTATTTTTTTTTTGAAAATAGATGCAGAACATACGTGCAGTAGAAGCAGAAGAGCTAATTAAATTTATCAAAAGCATTAATTTTAATTTATTTTACAAGATACTTACATACACACAACTACATACATATATGATTAAAACTAAAAATAGAATCATAAAATAAATTTATATTTTTACCCTATTAAGAAACGCACGCATGTTTAATTTTAATATTAACTTAAATATTAATTAAAAATAATTATTACCTTAGCGAACACATTTTCAAAATCGACTTTGTGTAAAATCAAATATCTTTCAATGCATTTGCCAAGCGTATTGTTTTAAATATGAATTGTATTGGCCTTAAATTTCTTTTGTATTATCGATCAAAACCGCAAAATATATGGGGCAACATGCAATTTTAAACAACAATAAGCTGAACAAGCTCTAATAAGTTTATACTTATTTAAAATTTTTATATCGTACCACGTTAGTATACAAGCCTCGTTTGCATGTCTGCCTATCCGCAAGGAAAATTTTGCAATACAATTACAGCGTATTTCTCAAATATGTAAATATAGCTCTAAGATTTTCAGTATCTCTCTGAAACCTATAACAATGCACCATTTAGGAATTTTTCAATATATTTGAATAAAACAGTTTTTGCTATAATTTCTAATCAATTGAAATCTTGTGGAGACGTTAGTTTCATGAGTTTAAGATGACGTTTCGGATAATGATTTTTTGTACATTAAGGTGGCGTTTCAACGATAGTCAACACAAGAAATATTTGTACTTAATAAAAATGTAATACAGTATAGTATGTGACCTGTGAATCATTAACATTAGAGCAAGTATTAAAAAAATGCATTTATTTACTTAATATGCTAGACATTAACCTAATCTTTCTACACTATTCTAAATTAAAATCTAAAATATGTAATAATTAATCATGAAAAACATATCAAAAGTGAAATATTTTATAGCAGACATGCATATTATGCGATTCTTATACATAAATATCATGTGAGTACACTGAAGTCAAGACTAATTCTTTAGATTATTATAATTTTTTTATTTAAATTATTTTTTGTTTTCTATTTATAATTCTTGAATAATAAGTAATTTGTGACATGCCACAATAATATAATTCGTTTGTATATATTGTATAATTTAAATGAATGCAAAATTAATTATTAAGAGAAAAAATTGTAAAACAAAATATTATAGGTTATGGAGTTTATAATTTCAAATTAGAATTACCAAAGTTATAACAATAAAAATTTCAACTATAACATTTTATGTACATAATTTTATAAGAAAAAAAAACAATTACAGAGTCTTTATGTTTATAATTGCATTTCCGCTAATAAAACAGGTATCTGTTTATCGTTGTGATCAAATTATATAGTTTTGTGTAGTTTCAAATGGAAAATATTTTGATAAATGCACATTAAGAGGTGCCAAATCTCTTGAAATTAAAAACCAGTCGCAAATCATAATTATTACTGTTACAGCACACACCATTATGCAAGTTAGGTTCTCTATATTAATAATTTAAAATATAGTCAGCGACAGGCACGTAGCCTAGCTAGTTACTTCAATACATGGCAATGGTAATATCAAACTAATGAAAATGAAAGTTGTATCGTAAATATACTGTCAATAATTTTCAGCTATTTTAAACAATACGAAAGTAAATACGAGTATATATAATCGAATTATAAATTGATACTTAAATTATACAGTTTTCCAGATTTGCTTTAATACAATGGCATAAAGTCGTTTTATAATTTCGACCTATTTTTATTCTAATTTAAATGCGATTGGCGTATTTTAAAATGACATTTTCTGGCCTATTAAACATAATGTATACGTTCGAGACACGTTCTCAAGTGCAAATTTAAAACTAATTTTGTGATGAAATTTTTACACTCTATGATTTCAATAGCTATTTAATAATGAAAAATGCATTATAAATAAACTTGCAAAAACGTTTACTAGAACTAACCTTAAAACAAGTTCCAGCTAGAAATGATCAACTGATCAAAATATTATAAATTTTAATATTTCGAAGACAATGATGATATTAAACCTTAATATTAACTAATTAGTTTGTTTTTAAAGTTTTCAACATTATAAAACTCACTTAGGTACTTATCACTCATGCAACTTGATTTGTACGTATTTGATCTTCCTTTACAACGGAATGTCAAAGCATTGAATTGAGATTGATTAATGTACGAGAGATATTTTTCCTATGAGAGTGTATAAAACGAAAAAAAGAAAATACTGTATCAAAAATCGCGTTAGCGAAACTTTTACTCACATAATTTCTACATATGAATAATATTTAAGAGACACGGTCTGTCAAATTCCTCTTTGTTTAGTTGACATCTCGCCTAGGGGCTGGGAAAAAATTATTTAAAAAATTATTTGTTTTGTAAAATATTTCAACGATTTTGTTTCAGTACTCTATAAAGAAGAAAATTGAGTTGGTAATAACTGGCAGAATTTTTTTAGCAAATTAAAGCAAAGAATAGAAAAATGGCAACACTTTTTGGAGAGAAGGACAGGAAGGAGACAAAATGTTAAATAATAAAATTCTTTAGGGTGAATTAATTTTAATTATACAATTCCATGTTTTTTTTCAGTTTGAGACGTTTTTAATGCATTCGAACCATATACAAATGCAAAATACGAGTATTAATAATAAAATGAAAGAAACAACTAGCAGCAATACGATGTCAGAATTTCATGATTGGTGGCATTTCTTGATTTTATTTTTAACTTACATATTTACGTTCTGCAATCGAAATAAATTTATTTTAATGCTTTTTTTCCTGAATAAACACTATTTTTGTTTTTTAAAGTGCAATTCACAAATTTATTTTACATTTAGGGTATGAATTAATAATTGC